AAGTTGGGTTCGTGCCCCCTTCCCTGAAGTGTTAAGCGCGCAGTGCGCAGTTACTAATCATTCTTAAGCCTTTGGCAAAGATCCCGGTCCACCGTTTCCAGCTAGTGGTGCTGGAGCAACTAGTGCGGGCTGCAACCAAGTGAGCCTTGGGCACAGTCCTCGTCCACCTGAAAGAACTGGCTGCAAGTGGATGGTGGCCGTGAATGTGAAACCTAGCCGAACACATCCAGAAGAAAACCTGGGCAAAGATTTTTGATGACCTTGGGTTAGTGGAAACTTGCTTGGATACCTGGGCGTTAAATGTCCAGGAAGATGGTGTTTGTGTTTGCATCAGCTTTTCAGGATTCCGTGCCCTTTCGTCCAGGTGGGAAATTGCCGCACACATCAAGCAGGTGGTATGATAAACCCATTGTTTGGGGCACAAAGAACTCTTCGCGGTAGCTAAAGCTCAGTCCGGGGTGATGGTCACGGACTGGACAAGAATAAGGTAGCTAGGTTTGAATGTCGCCATGTTTCTGCCAGTCCTGCTCACGGCTCAGCAGCTTTAAGAAGGCGCCAGGAGAGTGGAATCATGGTCTTTGTTCCGGAGGAGGTGTCCTCAGTTAAGGAGAAATTTCTGGAGGGGATGGACTTTGAAAGCCAGTGTTGTCCTCCCATGTTAGCTCAGTGCAGCCCCATCCTTGCTGCTGAAGAGCATGGTAATTAGATTGGAAGTCCATTGAGAAGCCAGTATTGGGTTTCTGCTCCAGATACTGTGTATGCTACTGGGTGAAGCCAGACATTGACGTATGTGTGATTGTTTATCTGTAAAGGAGTCTCCACTTTATTGGGTTTGAGTGTTTTATAACCACCACTTGGTAATTAGAAATCATGTAGTCTCAAAACTCACTCCACATGACCTCTGGGAATCGCTTACATGGTTGCATTTTATATTTTTTAATACCTAGACTATAAAAGGTTAACGTCCCGACTTTTTCCTGTGAGTTTTCTAGGTCCAGAGGTTGATTTTTACCAACAGCCCTCTCTGTACCCAGGCACTGTGCTAGTGATCGGGTTTTAGCGGGTCCTGGAGATGAGAGGAGAAGGGCACGAGGAAGAGAAAGTGATTCTCCAGGAAGGCCCTTCCTGCCTCCTGCTGAGCTAAGGCCAGAAGTCTGCTGGGCTCACTCCTCCCACTCCCCATTCATAAAAAGTACTGCTTAAGTGGACACAGCCCCCTGATTTTACCTTCTCATTTCTAAATCATTTCAGATATGCAGGGAGCTGTCTGTCCTCACTTCACTAGAGACCACTGGAATCCCACCATGCTGTCTTAGGACAGCACTGATGATGGTGCTTAAAGTCTTGTAACCCTTTCTCCTGGTCACTTAACTCCCATCGAGTCATTAACTGTATGGTGAGACCCAAAGTTCTGGTTGTCTATGGTTGGGCAACAAATCACCCCAGAACTGAAGGGCTTAACACCACGGCCGTTCATATGACTCTCAGGCCTGCACTTTTGTGCAGAACTCAGCAAGGCAGACTTGTGTTTACCCCATGTGGTGGCATCTGGAAGGGACTGGAAGACCGACTTCTAACATGGTTGGTAAGTTGGACCGGCTTGCAGCCGGGAGTTCGGCTAGGAGCCTCAAGATGTTGCCAGGGGGCTGTTGCACTGCTTGATGGCATGGAAGCTGGGTCCTGGGGCAGGCGTTCTGGAAGACGAGTGTGGAAAGTACGGCAGTGTAAAGACAGGGCCTGGAAGTGTGGGCATGCCTTCACTCCTGTCGCATTCCACTGGAAAGCACCGAGTGCTTCCAGATCCAAGGGGTCAGTGTAGGCCCACAGCGTGGCGGGGAAAGTGTTAGGAGTCGGTGGCCATCTTTGAATTACTGAACCCAGCCCTCACTGAGTCAGAAAAACGCAGCAGTCCTTTGGAGATCAGAAAAGATCTTCCTTCTGAACAGCAAATGGAGGCTGTCTTGTAGCCACGATTTTTAAGAAATCCAGACTAAAGGTCAGCAGTGATCATCTGTACGAGGAGTTAGTGGGAATAGCTTTGGAAGAAAGTCTCCAAGGTAATGGCATTTTCTGTCTTCCTCTGGACTGCTAGTCACACGGAGATTGAAATCCCTGAGAATAGGCCAGAGGCTGATCTTTTAGGTAAAGAGTCATCACTTCAGGAGTTGACAGACTTTTCTGTACAGGGCCCGGGTGTAAGTATTCTAGGTTTTGTAGGTCACGTAATCTCTTGCTGCTGCATCTTAAGCCTTTTGTAGGTTAGAAGTCCATGATGGCTCACTGGGTCCCTTTCCGGATGCTCTAGGGAGAAGGCATTCCGTTGCCCACCCTCGCTCAGAGGCTGCACACCTCTGTCTGTGGGCCTTCTTCCATCACCAAAAGCAGCGACGTGGGGTCCCTGATGCTGCTTCCGTCACATTTCTTTCTCTGACCTCATTTGTCTCTTCCCTTTTTAAGGGCCCTTGCAATGCCACTGGCCGTTGAAATAACTCCTGCTTTCAGATCAGCTGATAGTAACCTTAGTTCTCTCTGCCAGCATCTTCCCTGTTGCTACATAAATGAATGTAGTCAAAGACTGGGGTTAGAAGAGAGTCGTCTTTGGAGGCCACGACCGCGCCCACTACGCCATTTCTCCCCTTGGGGCTGTAGATTGCAGACCCCTCTTTAAAATCGTGATAGCGAATTGGCTTCGCCCCACAGTGTGATGTTCACCTCAGGATTGCATTTAGCCCCGAGAACTTGAAATGGGAGGGAGTGTGTAGCATTCCGTCTGTGCCTCTCCTGAGGTTGGCTTTGTGCTCTTTCCGCATGTAGCAACAATAGGACCGCTGTTACCAAAACTCATTTTCCAACCACGTCCATGTGAAAAACTTCACTTTTATCTTCTAATTATTCCACTTGAAGCTTCTGCTGATTCAGATAGACGGCGATAAAGTGTCCCAAGTGTAGTCTTGTTTTTAAATTTTCTTTAGCAATAATTGCCTTGTAATGAAGCAGTATAATTGGCTTCTGAGGGTGGGAGAGGAGATATGGTCAATTATTTACGTGCTCGTAATTTAAAATAAGAGTCAATGTACTTTTTTAGGTGAGCCTTTCACACGCAGTCATTTCCACTACAGTGTGACATCACGTGTTCCCAGAAATCACTGCACCATGCAGCATCACCACAGGGCTTATGGGAGAATGGGGTGAGTGGCACAACTCAGAATTCCGAATTCCCTCAGGGATAGATTAACTGTAGAAAGGAATATAATACAAATGGCAAAACACCTCTGTCCATACACACGTTTGAAAGAGCTACAGATGCTGCACTAAGACACTGCATCGGAAATGGCCCGCGGCTTGTTATTAAAGTAGGCCTTGCGAGGAGTTTTGCACTGTTTGGGTTCATGTGAGGAGGGAACATGAGGAGAATGTGAAGCTGCAGCGCATCGTGGCCCCAGTAGCGGATGGCTGTGACTATCCTTGCGAAGTGTGTGTGGAGTGAGCTGACTTCGGTGCAGGCACCACAGGGAGAGGTAGGTGGTATGTAAGCCAGTGCGAAAGTCATGTTCCGCGCAAATCAATCCTAACAGCAGTCATCACCTTAGCAAGACAGGTGTAGCAGAGCTGGTGGGGCGGGTCCCCAGGCTGCGCAGTGCCCTGCGGAGGGGCTGCCTGGCCGCAAGGCCCTGTCTTGTTTCTCCCCACCCCACCCCCCCGCCTGGGAGGCAGTTGCGGGGGCTGGCTCGCTCACAGAAGTTTATATTCAGAAATACAGAAGTTTCCCCAACATGCATTTTCCAAAGATGTTAGCCCCTACTTGCTTTGTTTCTCAAGAAGCTACTGAAGGACACCAGTTAGCAAAAGAGGAAACGCACTGAGAAAGGGCACAGAAAGTAGGAAATCGGGTGCAGGATGGCGTGAAGGGAGCCCCCGTGGGGGCAGCTGTGCACAGGCTTCTGACATTGTAGGATTTCGATTCTGAGCCACGGATTTAGGCTGAAATTGGTGTTTAATCCTTAGGAAAGGCAAGATCATTTCCCCTATGGAAAAGAAACCAAAATAAAAATTGTGGTTAAAAGGGAAATGCTAAACTTTGATTTAAATTTACTCTATGACTCGACTCTGAGCATCATCTCCATTTAAAATGTAGCCCTCCTGTTTGGTTAGTATACTGACCTGTGGGATGGTGGTGGGATGAGGTGGGAAGAGTGCAGGGTCCCGGATGGGGAGGAATGCCCATCTTCTGTAGTGAGACATCCACATCTGGCGCTGAAATTAAAGTCAAGGTGAAGCAATAAAACATTAGAGACCTGAAGTGAAATATCCCAAAACCATATCAAGAGTCAAAATCGGTTGCCTATAAGCTGTTTGTTATAATGAGCCTGTAGAAGGCTTTTAATTCTTATGCAATATGTACATACATCTTTTAATAGACATGATAAAACTAAAATATTTTGCAGAAAAGAGGTAACATAACGGGCCCAAGACAAATGTCCAAAGAGCATTTAAGATTCCTTGTTTATGAGTTAGTCCCAGCTGGCTCTGGGAACTTCGCTTTTGCAAGGGTTTGATAGGATGGGCTCGCTGCACTAAACTGTACAGAGAATGTGAGTAAAGCTGAATCCCTGAGAATCTGGAACTTGCTATGTGCCAGGCAGAGTGTGCCTGTGTGAACTGACCCCCAGGAAAACCCCAGGCAGTGAGTCACTAATGAACTTCCTTGGTGGACAACTTTCATGTGTCTTGTCACACAGCTTATTGCTGGGAGAATGAAACATGTCCTCTGTGGCCCCTTGCAGGAGGGGCAGAGGGTTGCTTTTAGAAAGTTGCACCTGGTTTCCCCTGAACTTTGCCCTTGTGCCTTTTCCCTTTGCTGTACATCCTTTGACTATAATAAATCATAACCGTGAGTCCACCTGCAGGACGAGTCTTGGTGAGTCATCAGGAGCTGATCTTGGGGCCCCTGTGACACAAATATATCTTAATATTAATGGCAGGCATTTCCCTCTTCTAGCGTGGAGATAGGTGAGAGCGTGAGGGGGGAGGATGTCTACATCATCCAGAGCGGCTGTGGAGAGATCAACGACAACCTGATGGAGCTCCTTATCATGATCAATGCCTGCAAAATCGCGTCGTCCTCCAGGGTGACTGCAGTGATCCCATGTTTTCCATATGCCCGACAAGATAAAAAGGACAAGGTAAGGTGTATCCCACTGGGGACGCTTTGTCTGCTTGCTACATTTGTTCTCCCTCATGTACCACCTCTCAATGTCTGCAACATATTTGCTGATTTCATAATCAAGGGAATATGCTTTCTCACCTTGGTTTTTTCAAAGGTTTGTCTTTGAAGCAGCCATCATGTTAATATTTATAGCTATAGTACAGATAAAGCTTATTTTTGCCGGTATTAAAATACTACAATCTTCCTTGTGATGAAATCTTTGTGTGTCTTTGTGGTGGTGGATAGAACAAAGTACACACATACACACACCAACCCCCTTAGGTATGGTTTATAGGCCCGGTGCTAAACATGACTTATTCAGTTAGTTCCTCACCAAAGTGGTCATCTCCAGAAGTCCATTCTGCACATTCTGTGATGTGTAATTGGGTTCTCCTTTTGCTTCTAGTAGATTTAACCTTTGGCACTTCTTCCATCTTCTTGAGTCAATTACTTCTTTTATCTTGACACAGTCCTCGTTCCATTTTCCCACTGTGGAGTGACTTGTGGCCCTTGCTTCCTCTGACACAACTGTTCAGGACCCTGTTTGCAGTTACCTCTGTCTGTGAGACTGTTTTCAAACTGTTTCTGATTTCGATTCATGATGAGGTTTGCTGTGTGGAGAAACTGGCTCTGTCTGGCACCTCCCTTTGCGTGGGCCAGCCTCTGGCCTTGCAGGAGATGGGAGGGCGCCCCAGCCTCTGCTCCTACCTCCTGTAGCTCCTCCTGCCTGTACCAGTCCAGAGGAGCTCAAACCCCAGGGGCATCCCTGTTTGAAGAACTGTGTTGTCGGCCAGCCACATATCCCTTCCCTGTTGTCCGCCATTTAGCTGGACTTTCTTTGGGGCCATCTATCTCTTTAGTTGCTTCTGCTTTCTCTCAACCACTTGGCGATGTGTTTCAGAGCAGACCATCCTACAGCTTTTTGAAGCAAACTGAGCTGCTCAGGGCAGACATAAGACCTTCATTGCCAGCCTCGCCATAGCAAAGCTGTGGTGACCACTGAGCTCCTACTCAGAGAGCAGCAGGGGAGTCCTGAGTTGGGAACCTGGCTTATGGCTAGAGACAAGAAAAGGAAAGGAGGGGTCACGGAGGGCTGTAATACGTCAGGCATCACGCCCTGGTGGCTTACAGTAGCAGTAACACATAGCTCGCACTTGTGGCGGCCGGAGGGGACTGAAGCGCGGAGCTGTGGCCTTTCCAGAGGCCCCAGGAGGGTCCCTGGAGTCCTTGGTCTAAGGGCCCTCCACCCCAGCCTTTGCCTTTTGTCTCACAGTCCTTTCTTAATGGCAGGGTGCAGCATTCAAGGCCTCGGGTGTCTCCCTAGCTCAGAGCACGCCATGGCATTACACCGCAAAGGCTGCTTTCCAAGCCAGGAGACATATACAGGGCTCAGGGGGTAGGAGCTGACGGCGCGGCCATGCTTCAGCCACTCCAGGGCCCGAGAAGGAAGCCACTGAGTTCGTGAGCGCACGTGGTGGGAGTAGTTCAGCTTGGAGATGGTGGTTGTGCCACGTGTCTTGCAGGGTGGGGCACCGGAGGGCTTGAAAGGGGCTCTTGGAATAAAGGTGCCAGAGCAAGTGTCCGCCATGACTGTGCCAGGCAACTTTCTGTAGGTCTGTAGCCTTGGCACTGACTGTGGACATGGCCAGGGCACGTAGTTTGCTCTGACCCGTGTGTGTCACGGGTCTGGAGAGGGACAGTTTCATTCGTTCACCACACTGGTGGGAAAGGAGGCTGAGTTTTGAAGTAGGCCTTTGTTCAACTGCTGTCACTGCTGATAATTTGTCTGTTCACTGCTTTGTCTCTGGAAGCCGGTGACAGGCTGACGTGGGACTGACGCGCCTGGGAGCTGAGGCGCTAAGCTTGGCCCGCGGCTGTAGTTGGTCTGTCCCCGCCTGCTGGGGAAGGCTGGGAAGCAAACTTCTCAGGTGGTCAGGGGGCTTGTAACCCTTGAAAATCGTTTCCATGTCGTGTCTCTTTTCAGCAGTAGCATTGGCTCTTTTTATTTAACTAGAAGAGTTGAGGGCAGTGGACTTGATGTAAACATCTACCACTTGGCAGACATTTAGTCAGATCTTCACTGCTGGCAGCACAGCACCCAGTCCGTCGAGGACGATCTGGACCGTCTGTCCTGGCAGGTGAACTCTTGCCCTCTGCATTTTTCGTGAAGTGTCAGAATTTCCCTTCCTGCCTCCTGCACCTTAACTGCAGTGTTGCCAGGCCACACCACTTCTCTGTTTCTAGGCTCTAAAACAGTTAATTGGTAAGGCATTGTTCCTGCAACATTCAGTTGGGTATGATGGCTGTAATCAGCCAACTATGAAACACAGCACGAGCTGAATTAGTACGCAAGACCTGTAGAAAGAATCAGAAAGTATGAATTTGGAAATTACCTCTGTGGTTTGGATCCCATAAGGAAGAATTACTCGACGCCACTGAGAGGGAGACCAGAGCAATCTTTTGGCTGGTTATAATACTGTAGGAAGAGCCTGAAACCGGTTAGCCTGCAAGTCAGATTCTATTACAAAGAAGTCTAGCACCCATTTGTTCTTTTAATTATCCTGAGTTGTGTTAGACTAAATAATTCTCACAGTTAGTGAGGCTAATAACTAAGCCTTGGAAACTTGGAGTTCCAGAGGTTCCGTTATTAAATATTTATTGAAGAATGGGCGTACATAGGAGCTGGGTGTTAGGGATGAGGTGAAACTCTCCAGAACCAATTCTGTGCCCCTGAGGGGCTCAGTCTGCCCACCAACTGCGTCAGACCTCTCAGCACGTCTAAGTTCTGTGTGCAGCGCTGGGGACCAAGTGATACCAGCGTGGTGCCAACCGGGTGCTTAGCCGATGCGGCGTCTGAGAAGGGAGACACTGCTCTCTGGGCTTCGCAGGGTGCCTTAAAGTTGGGACTGGAAGCCAGCCTGAGAGGTTAGGGACATGGGGGCAGGGCGCGGCCTACAGGGTGCTCTAGAAGAGGGGGACCCACTTGCCTCCTGGCTGCCCTGATCCACTGGCCGCAGAACCCGGCGCACTGGCGCACAATGTGTGGTTAGCACTTGGGCAAACGGCATGTGGTGACTAAAACGGGGCGAGCCTATCTTGGTGACAGTGCCTTTCATCATTAGTCATCCCATCACTTGCACTTGTTGACATTCGTTTTTTTACCAAGGTGTAATCAGTCACTGTCACTGCTCTTCCTCCTGCTGTAGTGGGGGAGCTTAAATCCCTCTTTCTGGAAGTGAAACCCCTGTCTCTGTCCTAGAGCCGTGCTCCGATCTCTGCAAAACTCGTGGCCAACATGCTGTCGGTGGCTGGCGCGGACCACATCATCACCATGGACCTGCACGCCTCCCAGATCCAGGTGCCTGCCTTTGCTCTCCTGCCCTGCTCGTGTCGGGGCTAAGCCCCAGCTCCCTGCTGAGCCACCTTCGAGGGGGGAATCTTGCTTTTTACTAGGCTAACTCATTTCCAAACGCGGTGGCTTACTGGTGTGAGTGCGTGCGTGGTTGCCCCTGGATCATCTTCGCCTTCCCTGAACCCAAAAGGGAAGTTCAGTGCTGCTGTGCGCGCCTCCACCACCAGCGTGCGCGGTTCCGTCCGTCTGGGGGTGTAAGGAGCGGCTTCTTGGTAGTGAACTGCTTGACTCCCTCTCAACCTCTGGACACTACTTCAAATTAATGTATTTTGTAGTGGGGGGATCCTGAATGTCCATCTTTCCCTGAGGTGAAATCCCCTTCTCGCGCTCCGATCTCTGCAAAACTCGTGGCCAGCGTGCTGTCGGAGGCCTGTGCATTCTTGAGTATTTTTTAACTTCTGAACTCAAGGTCCCTCCTAGCGTCAGCCAAGCTGCTGGGGCCACGCCGTGCTGCGTAGTGAATGTGAAGCATGCGGCTTGCTGTAGGTGCTTAAGAAAGGGCAGACTTTGCTCGCCAGCACCCTGCCAAGCCATTCTCCTCTTTCTTAGAATACCAGCGACCATAAAAAGAATAGGCTGTGCCCTCAAAGATAAATAACAGGGCTACACTATGCTCCTGGCACGAACGTTGACTTAATCCTGTTCCTGTTAGGAAGCCTTCTTTTGAATAAAACAGTCCGCTGGTTGAACGAAAGGTTATTTCTTCAAAGCCAACCGCGTGTGACTGTCCGCACAGGGCTTCTTCGACATCCCCGTGGACAACCTGTACGCGGAGCCGGCCGTCCTGCAGTGGATCCGCGAGAACATCAGCGAGTGGAGGAACTGCATCATCGTCTCGCCCGATGCGGGGGGCGCCAAGAGGTAGGCTTGGCCGCGGCGCGGCTGGCGGAGGCCCCGGTCGGTGCCTTTCCTCTTCCCAGCATGGGACGAGGAGGCTCGTCTGGACCGACTGCCTGTTTGGCTGGCGAGCCAGCAGGGGGCCTGCGGCCTGCGCCTTCAGGCCTGAGACCGGGCCTCTGTGCCCATCTCATGGCTCGTGGTAGCACGCGTTTTCAGCAAAGAGCATCTTGACTTTGCATTTCTTTTGGCCTTTTTAATTCCGATTTTGAAAATGGTGAGCCTGCTTGGAAAGTAAAGCATTAGTTAGTGGCACGGCCGACTCAGGCCTTCCCTTTCAAACAACTGGAAATACCTGAAACAGAGCCGGACTTGAACAAATGAGTGTGTCTGGAGAACACCAGGAAAGGAAGGGACCTGTGGGGCCGGCACACACGGAAGGGCCCAGCCAGGGGCAGGCGAGAGAGCCCTGGGGGCAGCTCGGGGTGGTGCATGCGGGGCCTCCAGAAAGAAGGGCCTTTCAGTGAGGGCGAAAATCGGTACTGACGGGACTCGCACAGTCTGTGCCAGGTGGATTTGTGTGTGGGCTCCACTCGTGCTGTGCTGAGAAAATTCTGCTACCGATTGCTCCAACGCTGCCAGTCCCACAGCACAGGGTGGTTGTCCGGGCGGCCGCCTGCTGCTCAGAGTGACCCCACAGCACACTTTTCTTAAAGATTTATTTGTGCACACAGAACTGGGGCACAGGCCAGAGGTGCAGGGGCGGTGCGAGGCTTCACCAGAGACAGAGTGGGGCGCAGACAGACAGATGGATGAAGTGCACTGCTGAGGGGAGCAGTGGGCGGGTCAGGAGAGGTCTGCCGCGCCATGGGGGGTCACCTCCTGGCCGGGGATGGAACTCTCTCGCTCAAGCAGCTGCTGCCATCTTCACAGTGCTGTGCTTTAACCCATTGTGCCACCAGGGAGGGTCTCAGGATGTCTTTCAGTGCAAGCGCCAGCCCCTCGTTGGGCTCCGTTCCCTGTCTGTGGCCCAGTGAAGAGCCTCAAGTCAAACTTAGACACTTGGCAGCAGCCCAGGGAGTGGAGGCCCTGAGCCCCAGATGAGCTCCGTGTAGTTAAGCTGCTGTCCACAACCACTTAGGTTCCCAGCCCAGAAGAACCAGCCTCTGAAGGTGGCAGGAAGTGGCCATTGACAGGAGACAAAATTCTGTGACAGAGGTGGAAGGTTAAGTTGCAGAGACACTAGCCGGGCACGCCAGCGTAACAGCAGCCCCTGCACCACAAAGGCCAGGCTGGAGCTCACGGGCTTTGAAGTCCAACGCCGGGGGTGGGTATGTGAGCAGGTGATTCTGCACAAACTGCACTTGGAGGCTGCAGTCGCACGCCGAAGCCACCTTCAAGTGTGGTGACCTGCTGGCCTGATGGACAGGTAGAGGGGAGCCGGCAGGCTTGGGGTGCACAGCACCGGCACAGCCTGTTTACAGTAAGATGCCTGCAGTGCTCCGTTGCGAGTGTCTAGTTCAGTGCTGGTTTCGTGCGTGCTTAGACTGCGCGGCCATAGCCGCAGTCTAATTCTAGGGCTTTCATCACCCCAGAGGAAACCTGTACCCACTGCTAGTCACTCCCCAGTGGCTCCCTTCAGCCCCCGCAACCACCCGTCTACTCTGTCCCCGTGGAGCTGCCTCTGGACGTTGTGATGGAAGCGTCTACATTTCGTGGTCGCTGTGTCTGGCGTCGCTCCTGATTCAACCAGAAAAGATGACTAGTTTGAGCTCATATGCCCAAAGAATAGACGCCACCTGCTCGCATGGCCGCTTTTCCAGTCCCCACCATACTTTTTAGGCATAGTCTAAAGCTGCACATGCCCTTGGCACCAATTGGAACAGTGCAAGTGGGTCATGTCCCCCATTTTCTTCTTTCGAGACCCCTGTCATCTCCAGTATCAGAACTGTCTTCAGACATAAGGCTTTATTTCACAGAACGCTGGGACGGTGCTGTGCACACTTCACTGTGCTCTGAAAGGCAGCTGGCCCAGCGCCGCCCGCTGCCCCGGCGGCGGGCCCAGCCGCCGCTTCCGCCGGCGCCCGCCCTCTCCAGGCGCCTTGCTCGTTCTCATCCAGAGCCCGCGCACGGCACTACCTTGCGTTCCAGCCAGCGCTGCTGTGCAAGGCAGAGACGTTCTGGAAGTCCAGTCTGAGCTGACTCTAAGCACGAACCATTTCGGTCTTGACGGACAGTGCCAACGCTTGCCTTTCAAAGGAGGTCGGCCGTTGACTGGCCCCCAGGCTCACAGCACGGGGCTCGGGAGACTCAGTTACTCGTAAGACAGACGGATGAGGGGCAGATGGTGTCTTCCTGTCGGTGCCGTTGCGGTGGGTGAGGTCAGTGTGACTTGGGGGTCTGTCTGTTCTTCCCTTCTGCCTACTGTTCTGTGGCCGGAGCGCCGCTCCGCCTGCACAGGCAAGAGGTCACACCTTTGTTTCTCGTGCGTGTGTGCGTTGCCCAACTCCCCTGGGTTCTGCATTGTGTTCCTTGCTGTATGTTTATTTTCTGCTGGACTTACAGCATATTTTTAGGTAGTTGTTTCTCTCTTCATGCGATGGTTTCTGGGCTTAGAGTGGATTCACAGTTCTTATAAATCTCTCCCGGAGATCCCATCTGTTTGTTTTTTTTTATGATTTATTTATTTGTGCATACAGAACTGGGTACAGGTCAGAGGTGCAGGGGCAGTGAGAGGCTTCACCAGAGACAGAGTGGGGAGCAGAACAGGCAGATGGAAGAGCTGCACTCCTGAGGGGAGCAGCAGGGAGACCGGAGAGGTCTGCTGTGCCCTGGGAGTCACTCCCTGCCGGGGATCAAGCTCGTACTGAAGCTGCCGCTGCTAACCTGCTGTGCCACTAGGGAGGACCCAAGATTTCATGTGTTTTAAGGGGTGTGTTTTTCATTTGTAGTGCTCCAGGTTTCTCCCATCTGAAAACTGCTTTGGAATATGAACGAAGTAGGAACCTAATCCCTCCCCAGCTGTCTAATTGCTCTAAAACTGGGTATTGAACAAGCCATCTTTCCCCCACCGATTGGAAGCACTGCTTTATTTATACACCAAGATCCTCTATGAATTTCCTTTTGAACACTGCCAGAGCAGCTGACCAGACACACGCGTTTGAGATGCTGTCATTCACACATGCACCCCCCTGCCCCCGCCCCGGCGCTCCACCGGGAACGTTAAGATGTCTCAGGCCATGCCTTTTGGGTTTCTTGGCCATCAGTGTCCTCATACTCCAGAGGAAGCTGCTCTCCGCTGACAGATGAGCCTCGCAAGTGACATGTGATTCATGGAGGTGATGCTATCTGTGGCTTGATGCTAAAAGTCATGTTTTAGCAAAGGAAATATCTGACATTGGAGCTTGTTGCCTTAGAAAAAGCTTCTGAACCTTGCTTCAGTCCCGGCAAAACAATGTCTCCACAAGAGGTCTCTCTCTCGAGTCTTCGAAGCCTGACTGGACAGCCAGGACAGAACTGTGCTTAGGAGGTGACACGCCCCTGCACAGGGGCGCTATTAGCGGGAAGCCAGTGTGCAGGGTGCTGGAAGGAAATAACAGGTTTCATTTACACTTTTTCTCTTTTCCCTGATTACGGAGTCATACAATGTGTCCTACAGAAAATTTGGAAAGTTATAAAGGAGAAAGTAGTTACTCTGTATCTATCTATAATGACTGAGGCCACTATGAACAATTTAGGGGAGTGTGATCCGCCTATCCTAGGCGTCACTGCACACAGGCAGACACATGAATGCGCGCCCAGCTGCAATCCTGCCTCCAGAGACATGGAGGTCAAGCTGGGTTTTTATATATTCTTTATATCTATTTTACATCTTTTTTTTATAGTGTTTGCTTTCTTTTCTGAGGTGTAGTCCCCACAGAATTCCCACCACCCATTCACCCTGCACCATCACTTCAGTCCCCTGTGCTCTTCCTTCACTTGTTTTGCTCCCTCTCCCTTCCCCTCCTCTGCAGTGTCTCTGATTTATAGTTGTCTCTGTGTTTTTGTTTTGCTTTGATTTGGTTATTTTTTCCCCTAATGTCTTATTTGCTTCCCCCCTATTCCTCCCATAAGTGAAACCATCTGATATTTTTCTTTTTCCTTCTGACTGATTTCAGTGAGCATGATCCCCTCTAGCTCCATCCATGAGGCTGTGAGATACCATGAGTTCATCTTTTTGACCGCTGCATAGTATTCTGTTGCATATACATACCATATCTTCTTGATTCAGTCATCTAGAAGCTCTGTTTTATTCCAGCTTTTTCTGCCAGTAATTTTTCAACATCATTTGTTAAGAATATAAAGTCTCAGTTCTATGTGGAAAAGAAGTTAGCTTCCGGGAGGCTGCTTGCAAAGATATTTTCCTTTATTTCCTGCTTGTAACACTGCCACTGGGTACTTGAAATGGCTAGATCTCCCCACTCATGTCCCAGGCCTGCCTTGTCTGCTCCCGAGCCCCAGAGCTCTACTGTTTCCCCACAGGCCCCGGGGCTCCCACTGCTCTGTGCAGGGCCTGGGGAACAGGAAGGGCAGCTTTAGTGCCTTAGCACTTTGGCTACATCTCGGCCCATGGAGCGCTTGACAGGTGAGGCCTGCCGTTTCTGGCATTGTGAGTGTGGCAGGCTTCTCCATCCCTAAAATACAACATGGCAAAGTTTTTTCTGTCGGCCGTTTCCCATATCTGCTTCTGATCTTGCCCAGGGTCACATCCATCGCCGACAGGCTGAATGTGGAGTTCGCCCTGATCCACAAAGAGAGGAAGAAGGCCAACGAAGTGGACCGGATGGTTCTGGTGGGCGACGTGAAGGACCGTGTGGCCATCCTCGTGGACGACATGGCGGACACGTGTGGCACCATCTGCCACGCTGCAGACAAGTATGCAGTTGGCGGGGGCAGTTAAGGACAGCTTGAGGACTCAGAAAGGAAACGGCATTAGCTTTTAAAAATTGCACCTGCTTTTCCCCGTGAGTGCTGATGCACTACTAGTGGCCTTTCAGACCAAAGATTCTAGGCCCGTTTATTTTTTCTCCTGGGCATGAAACCCTCGGTTCTTTGTGGCCTGGTTTTACTTTCCAAAATTGGGCTTTAGTGCATTTATCAAAGCATCAGAAGATGCTGCCCTGAAACTGAAGGAGTCAGTCTTAGGGGCCCTTACTTACTTCTGTTCTGGATCCTTTAGAGCTGGGCTGGCTGGGTTGGGATCCACAACCCAGCCTGTGTGGTTCTGGGTGCTGGGGATGTTGCCAGCCTGACCTGAGGTGCCCTGAGGGTGGGAAACACATCAGGTTGCAGAGACTGAGTGCCAGACAAGGAACACTGAAGCCCTCAGTAGTACTTCCATGGCGCTTCTGCCTCAGAATGGTGATATTCTGGCCAGAATGGTTTGAACCGGTGGTTCTCAGCAAAACCACAGGGGCGGTTTTGCTCCCCGGGGGGACATTGGACAGTGTCTGAAGAGATTGTTGCTCGTCACAGCTGAGAGGAGGGGGCTTTGTCAGTGGGTCAAGGCTAGGAAGGCTGCAAACAAAGGACTATCTAGGCCCGGCACCACCCGATTGTCCTGGCATACTGGGACACGAAGGATTTTACTGGCTCATACCTTGAAAGACCTGTATGAGGCCAGTAGATGTAAGTGAAATTGGTTTCCTGTTTCCCTTTACGGAACACACTTTTTGCCTTTAAATTCGCACGAGGGAGGAATGTTTCAGGACTATTCGTGTGCACTTCGTTTTTCAAATCTTGTATTTTACAGGCTACTCTCAGCTGGGGCCACCAAAGTTTATGCCATCCTGACCCATGGGATCTTCTCTGGGCCAGCCATTTCCAGAATAAACAATGCTGCCTTCGAGGCTGTGGTTGTCACAAACACGATTCCACAGGAGGACAAGATGAGACACTGCTCCAAGATTCAGGTACTAGCCACAGAGCAGGCAGAGTCCAGCCGCAGGCACCGAGCTCAGCTCCCAAAAGCCAGCATCGCGCCTTCTGTGTCCGACTTGCCAAGGCAGTGCTGGCCGAGGCTGCAGCTTGTCCCAGCGTGAAGGGGTGATTCACATGAGACCTCAGAAAGGCCTGGGCCAGCAGGGTCATGGGAGAACTCGTAGGTGAATCAGAGTGCAGTAGAAAAGAAGCAGTACAAAACAGGCTGTGAGAGTGTGCCCACCCCGAGATCCGTACCCCCCAGTTGGGAAACAGGTGTTCAGACAAGAGCTTGTACAGGACGCTCCTAGCAGACCTATTCACCGTATCCGGAAGGCGGGAGCAGCGTGATGGGCGACGCAGCCTTTGCAGTGTGGGCTGCAGCACGGTGAACCTCGGAGCTGGAGAGCAAGCTGAGGGCAGGGGCAGACGCTAAAGACACATCCTGGTTGAGGGACTTGGCGTAGCCAGACTCGCAGAAGGTAGCAAGGCGGGTGCCCGCGGCCGGGGAGGGCGAGGAGGGCTGTGTGTGCTGGGGATGTGGTCTGTATTGGGATGAAGGGGCTCTGGAAGCAGGTGCCAGGGCGGCGACACCATGCTGGGAATGTGCGCTGCCCAACTGTCTGCTCCCCAGCAGGTGATAAATGCCATGCCCATGCCGCCTGCCTGTGCTTTTACAAAAGCAAGGGAGGGACGAATCACAGTGTGTGTCGGCTCTGCGGAGGGTCTTTAGAGCAGTGCTCCCCTGGTGCAGGCTTGCACAGCTGCTGATAATCCCTTCCACGGTGGCTGGCCTGGCATACAGTGAAAAGGGTTCAGTGCCACTTTGCCTCTGCGTCCTGGTGAGCTTTGGCGAGTGAGTTCCCTGCTAGAAGCCTTGGTGTCTGTGCTTAGGGCGTGAAGGTGTGAGGCAAAGCCGTCCGCTGCTTGGTGATTCCCAGTCCACCGGAGAGCAAAGAAATTCATTTGGCACAAGGAGATGACTTTGGAAATGCCCACAGTGGTGGTGCCTTAGATTTGCCTTCCTGATAGCAGGAGCCGAGAGTCAGCTAGACAAGCCACCGTCAAACCCGGCCCACCATCTAGTTTTGTAAATAAAGTTCGACTGGCACACAGCCTTGCCCATTCATTATGTTTTGGCTGCCATCTCACCGCTGAGAAGTCTGCATTGAGTCTGGTCGGTGAAGCTGAAAATATTACGAGTCTCTTCACAGAAAAAGCAGTTTGCTGGCTCCTAAGTTAGAAGAGTCACAGCTGTGCTCTTCACCAATGCAGTCACTGGTTTCAGAAACCAAGAGAGGGGAGCTTGCCATATCGTGATTGAAATCAGTTGAAAGCAGTGCCTCAAGAAAACAATGTCTCCTCCAGTTAAGTGTTCTGAAGAACCTTAGCGTTTGCCCTGGCATCTGACGCCCGAAGATTCCACACAACTGGGGCCAGCAGCCTGTAGTCTGAAGTTGGATCCCCGCTCCGGGGCTTCTCCAAAGTGGTGGGTGGGGGCGGAGCTAGGAGGAGCTCATCGCTCATCTCATGTGCTGGAGAAATCGTTTGTAGGCGCCATGCCTGAGTTTTTAATTTAAGACATGACCCAGGTTTCCACGTTCCTCTCCTCACCCCTTTTGGTTTCTCCTTGGCGCAGGTGATCGACATTTCCATGATCTTGGCCGAGGCGATCCGGAGGACTCACAACGGCGAGTCGGTGTCCTACCTATTCAGCCACGTCCCCCTCTAAGTCCAGGCCGTGCAGCATGGAGGGAGCCTGCTCTGGCTTCTGACACTTGTCTGGTTTTTTTTAGCTTTAGGACTCAGCAGTTAGGAGATAATGCAAAAGCATCCGATCTTTGTATACTCGGGGATCCATCCCCCCCTTTCTGAAGCGCAAGACCAGTTAGTTCCAGTTTGCAGGGGAGGGCGGTGGTTGTTTTACCTGTCAGTGAACTGTCTTCAGTGAGAAATGTTTTCGTCGTCTTCACTTACTTCGGTAGGTCACCTTTTCCTCTGTTCCGTCATACTTTGAGGCCACAGCTTTCGGGTATGGAATTCCATTGTGGAAGTTTGTAGTTTGTAGACTGCGGGGTTGCCAAAGGCGACTTCCGATGAAATCCTTCTGTGTAAATATATAATGATAATGCCTATGGACATTTGGGTAAAACCCTGTAGAAAAGTAGGCCTTTATTTCCCAGCGAACCTGTGGGAATTATAAGACCATAGATTCTGAATTTTGTTTTTAGTAACTGGGTTTCAAATAAACCATTTTGGTTATGCTTAATCTGGACCAAATTTTACATAGCTTGAGATGGACGCGGACACATTAATTGTTTGGGTGCACGTTAGACAGGTGGGAGGCAATACGATTCAGTGTCTTTAATTCTACTGTTAGAACTATCACTTAACAGGCGAGGCCTTACCTCCAGATTCCAAAATTATGTTCAGCGAGCCACAGATCTGATTTAGTGACCATTTTGAGATAGAATCTCTGGCCTCCCGGTCACACAGGTGGTCTTGAGGTATTAAGAACACAGTTCTTCGAGCCCATCTCAGCGTCCTGTCACCTTCCTCTTTTACGTGTTTTTAGCTTTCGTTTTTACTTTGCATTTTTCCAATAATTTCACGTGGCTTTCCACCGAAATAAAGACTCTGAGTTCTCTCAGATTTACTATTCTGATCGTTATTTTGCTTTCAACAAAGTAAAAAGGTGAATTTTTGTGAGTGCCACCAAAGGCATATTTAAACACTGCTGCATTATTTGATTTCACATTCTTTTGCCTTTTCTGATCCAAAGTAGCGAGTTATCGAAGCAACTGATGACTCTAACTAAAACTGTTACAGGAAAGCTGTGTGCAAGCGTACACCTGGTTCCACTAAGATAATGTTCATGTGGTCCCTGGTGTCCTGTAGACGGCCCTTGACAGCACCCTCCTGGTGAGATGCCCTCACCTGGCACAGGGCAGGCGTTGATTCTGTGGATTTTCCTTTATGCACGTGGGTCGACGGCCAACAGAATTCTTCAGCCCAAAAGGAGAGAATTCGCCTGCACAGAGCCGGGCGCTAATACACCACGGTCTCTCCCTTCTGCTAAATCTTAGATCTGAAGTTTTAAAACTTAAATTCTTCTACCGGTGAAAAACAAATCTAAGTCACCAAGAAACTTGAATAGCAATCTTTCACGTTCACTGCAACGAAGGCTGAAGTGAAGATAAGAAGTATTTTTAGTTGCTGCAGAAACCTGCGATTTTGCTGTACCTTCAAATGGCTCTTGAGAAACATGTCTACTGTAACTCGGTGGAGTCACAAAAGGACTTTATCTAGAAAAGAGCTGGCTTGAGATGTAGAAGGAGCCAATTCAGATGCTCTGTGACTTATTTTTGATAAATAATGGTATCTGTTTCTTGGAATTGTGATGCTTAGGGAAACGCAAATGTAGTTAGCAGCACGCATGTGCACAGCTCATGGCACGCGTTAACACCTAACACCTGGTGACGTCACGGTGCTCATTCCTCTAAGAACTGCAACTAAGGCTGTGTAGAGTTAGCATGGAAATGATCATCTCGGAGATAAAAGGTAAACATGACTGTACCAAAGCTAAGCTTCCAACTTAAATCTTGTTAGTCACTTTGCTGCAACTTTGTCAGCTAGATTCAGGAATAAATCATTTGCAGTGCTTATGGGTTTAGAAGATAAAATTTTAAGATCCTCCAATGCTGTACTAAAACATTTCAATAAAAACCTTTCTCTCTCGTGGCTCGCGTCATCGTTGCGGAGTAGTGTTTTGGCCGGGTGATGTCTTTAGACGGGTTACCTGAAAACGTCTGCACTTCATGACTAGAGTCCAGCATAGAAAGTTACCAAAAAGGTTAGAAATTGATTGAAATCAGGTCTTCTCCACCATCAGGATGTTTCTTTCCAGAAGACTTGTTAGCCATCTCATCGTCCCAGGGTAGAACAGCTGTGCTACATGAAGTATGCGTGCCGTCGATAGCTGTTTCCCAAAAGGTAGGTGCAGCCTTTTGTGCATCAAAGTAAGAGCTTAATAGCTAAGGTTAAAGCACACTCCACTGTGGGCAGCACAGAAATTTCCCGCGTGCTTTGTTTCTAGAAGATTCGAGAAATGCCCTCTTCCATTGAGCAGGTAGATACACAGTAAAACAGGAAGAGTTGAAACCAGATCCGTGTGAGGTCATAGTTTAAGAGCATGATAGAGTGTATTTTTAGGAGGAAGAGCATGAAGGAGGTGGGAGGAGGAGGCGCGTCAGCTCCACAGAGCCCTAATCATTCTGTCACCCTCTACAGAGATGCGTGTCTAGCAGGTCAGTGGTCATGTCTGCTGCCCCCTACCTGGGTATTGTGGATTCAAATGATTAAAGGTTTTCAGATATTTACTCTCGGCTTGATATTTTGCAGGCCCCTAGGAAAGTTCTCTGAAGAGCTGTGGCTGGTGGGTCAGCTTGGGTAGCTGCAGGGAAGCAGGTGTATTTCAGCAATGTGAAGAACACGAGTGCTCCAGCCAGCTCTGCATTGTGCCAACCAAGTGCAAAGGAGGACCCCGTGTAAAGACACTGGGGGCTTAATTGATGTGAGAGCCACACTCTCAAGGTGCCTGGGCCTGAGCGCCCCTTCTGCACACTGATAGGCTCACCCCACACCCACTGCCTCCAGGGTATCCCCACCCTGGGCGTTCCCAGCATGTCTTTCTGCTTTTTCTCACCAGAATACTTCACTTTCTCATGTTTGACTGCTTATGGAACATAATGTGGACTGCTTAGATGATTTGATACACAACTTTCTCCTTTTAAATTTGGAAGCACTAGGCAACTGAAGGCAGGGCCCAAAGCGAACATGCGCTTCTCATGCTCGTGGCCAACTGCAGTGGCAGTTCGCAAGCTCCCTTCAGAAGACTGAGCTGTACGTGTTTGTTTCCTGACACCACTGGAGTCACCATTCTCAAAGTCAGGAAAGAAATATAGAATGAAAGGCAGCATTTTCAAATAAATGGAACTATTTCAAACATGGAGACTACCTCAGTGACATCACCTCAAAAAGTTAAACACGGTGAAATCGAAGTCCCTTGCCCTTCCGCTCTCCCTTCTCAGTTAGCCTGGGTTGGGATTTCCATGCACAGTCCAAGCGGGCTTTTATTCCCACTCGCGTGCATGATGCCTTCACTCCCACCACTCGTGGTGCTCGCCCGCGCCCTTCAGCCTGCGCCCTCCCTCACTGTCCGTGTTGGTACACGCAGCTGCTGCTCCTCCCTGTTTATACTGTGGGGTTTTGGCTAACTTTATCACACTACCTCCTGTTGATGGGCTGGATTTTTTTCAATTTCAAAAAACTTGCAATATGCATTATTATGCTTGTCCCTTCATGCTAATTTATTCATTAGTGCTATTCTGAATCCCAGAGAGAGGTGGGTATTTTCCATCCTGGTAACACTTGTGTCCAGCAGTCTGAGGCTGGTGGTGAGCAGCCTGTGTCCAGGCCTGGGGCTTAATCATCTGTGACCTAGATATCCAAACAGGAACACGGCAACCAGGTATTTAGAAATGCTTATTGTTTTTTTCCACACAGGACAGAGATGGTGGCCCTCCCTGAGAGCAGCCAGTAGTTACATTGGCTAACTGGAAAAGATTACTGCACTCCTGTGTCATGGCCGTGTACTTAACAACGGCCAGGTCATTGGCCCACCTCCATGTCTGCCGACGGAGACTAGATAAAGAAATCGTGTGGCGTATACCCAGTGGAATACTACTCAGCTATTAAAAAGGATAAAAGTGTGCCAGTTGGGACAAAAGAATCTGGAGGTCACTGTGCCAAGGGAAATAAAGCAGGAAGTGAAAGCCATTTACCACGTGGTTTCATTCAGATGCAGAATAAAATAGCCAAGGAAAACAAACTGACCCCCATAATCCAAAATAATTCTTAGAAGCTATGAAAAGTAGTACTGCCAGGGGGACCAGAGAGAGGAAGGGGTGGGAGGGGAGATGAGAGGGAATGGGCCTGGAGCTTGGTGGACTGTGAGTGAGGCCTGTGCCACAAGTAAAGGGGTGAAATTGTCCTAAAGAAATTTCTACAATGTGTAAATGATGGCCATACTGATATGATCTGAGAAAAAATACAAAAAAAGTTTGTGCCACGAGGTGGCGGGTGCAAGACCCGGCTGTGCCTCGCCCTCTCCTCTGCAGAAGCCACTAAACACAAGTCTGGGGTGCAACGGCAGCACCGCCCACTCCCAGACCCCTCCATTCGGCAGAATCAGTCTCGTCCATGGGGCCGCACCCGCAAGGGTGATGTGTGCGCTGAGCGGTGAGGCACAGCTGACCTGAGGAGGCAGCCCCAGGGCCCGGGACCCCGCCGACATCTAAGAGATCGCCTCACCTGGGCCTCCCCCCTCGGGCCTCCACCGCTGTGGGTGGCGGTGTTGCCAAACGTGGCCATCAGCGCCCCCAGGAATGCCAACAGGAGGCCGGCGGGAGCCCCACACCTGCGGGTCATTTAGGAGAGGGCTGCAGGCCTCAGACAAGGCCCGGCAACAGGGGCTGCTCCCCAAGTTGCCAGCGGGGGGGCACGTCAGGCTGCCTCATGCCCATCAGCAGCAGGGCCTGTCCCATCTGGGGGAGGGGCCCCGAGGTCAGCCAGAGAGAAAAGCAGGGGCTTGCCCCAACGGGGAGCCGCCCTGTGGCGCTCTCCTGAGGGAATGGTCCTAAGGGCCGCCCCTTCCAACGCTCCATCACAGGTGCTTCAGCGCTCACGTGGCGCGGCAGGTGAGGGGGCGGTGCTGGGCCTGAAGACGCACAGGTGAGGAGCAGCCTGTGTATATAGCCTCCTGCTCAGGCGCCCCACAGGAAGGGAGCGCCTAGAGGAAGGGGAGGAGACGCGCGGGCCCAGGTAAGTGTCTTCTCCCGGGTCCTGGGTTCCGTCCGCCCACCCAGAGGCCACGATGTAGGCCTTGCGGACATGGCTTCCCCCTCTGCGGTCCTGCCAACAATTTGCCCTCAGCTGCTGCCCCCACCCCTGGCCGTCAGGGCCAGCTCTTCATAGCTGGCTGTTCTGTCCAGAGCGTCCTCTGTCCTTTGCCTGCACTCGATGAGGCTTGGCGTGAAACTAAGGCCTCAGGCGAACGACCCGCAGCACTGAGAGGCTCCTCTGGCCAAGGCGCCTGGCCAAGTTGCTGCCCGTGTGCCGCCGGACAGCAGGGGACATGGGGAGCCTGTAACGTTCAGGTTGCAGTGGGGGCGGCGTCCGTGCCGCGTAGCCACCGTGGAAAAGCTGTGCAAGTGAGGCCGACGGCCTTGTGGCCCAGCGTGGCTCCAGGTTCCTTCTGAAAGCGGCCTCCTGTCTGCGCGCGGAGGGGCCTGGCGAGAGCTACTCTGGGGCCCAGAGCAGGGGCTGTGCCTGGAAGCAGCACAAAACCGCCACTTCCCCTGAGGAGACTCCCTCAGTTGCTTCCCCCCAAAGGAGTCACAGCCAAGATGGCGAGCGGCCCCTGAGCCAGGCAGCTGGTGTCCATTGACCCCATCACACCTGGTGTCCATTGACCCCATCACACCTGGTGTCCATTGACCCCATCACACCTGGT